TTTTTTAAAAATTAAAAAAATATATTAAAATTTTAATTTTTGTTCCCTATAAATATCCAAGTCATTTCTCACATCATTTTCACCATTCCATACCATATTGTCTTATTTTATTTTAATTATTCGCATTCTTTAAACTCTTATTCGAACAATTAATTTTTTTTTTTGAAGCAAAACAAACATAGCATTCTGAAAATTAGTAAGGTTATATAAAGATAAGAAATATAAAGAGTTACTCATTTATAAATATGGTAGTTTAATTTAATTAACTAATAAAGTTAAAGAACAAACTTAAAAACAATAAATTATTGAGGGGGCTAAAAAATAGCCTCATTCAATTAGAGATAATATATAAATATGACCTGATATTGTTCATTAAAAAATAATTTTTTGCAGAGCTATAATTTGCATCGGACTAAACATAGTCCATTCGGTTGGCGATGACCTTAGGAATTTTTAATGGCTTGGAAAAGACTTGCTTATTGATGTGGGGTTTATAAGAGCATCTCCAATGAAGACCCTAAATGGAGTCCCTACAACTGTATAGTCCCTAAATATAGGGACAAATGACTTCCAATGGGCCGGAATTGTAGTCCTCAAAGTATCTCAATGCTTAGGACTCATTGGATACTTCAGTAAAATTTTCAAATATGAGGACTATATATAGAGACTTAAATAGTGGACTCCATATTAATTTTGAGTGGGAAATGTTGTTGCTCTTTATGTTTTTTTTCATTGTTTTTTGAACCCACCCAAGTGGGGCAACTTCTCACTTGCTTTTTCTGTTTTTTTTTTAGTTCTTGCAAAATCAATGGTAGAGATAGTTTTTTATTTGGGCAAATGACTGTTTACTACCCTCATGTTTCGTGGTTTTCAACATTTAGTACATCAATTTTTTTTCGTCCCAGAGTCATACCTAAAGTGTAAATTTTGGGACAGTCTCATACATTCGTTAGTCAAACTGTTAAGTCTGCTGTTAACAGTGACGTGGCGCCCATGTGGCCAATGATTGGGCGCCACGTGTCATCCACGTGAAAATTTAAAAAAAAAATTTATAAAATAATATATATATATATATATATATATTATAAAATAAAATAAAATAACCGAATCTGGGCAGATTTGGAAGAAGGAGAAGGAAGAAGAAGAAAAATGAGAAGGAAGGAGGAAGGAGGAAGAAGGAAAAAAAAAAAAGAAAAAAACTGGGCAGATTTGAAGAAGAAGAAGAAGAAGAAAAATGAGAAGGAAGAAGGAGGAAGAAGAAGGAAGGAGGAGGAAGAAAAAAAATTAGGCAGAATCGAAGAAGAAGAAGAAGGAGGAAGCAGAAGGAAGAAGAAGAAGAAGGAGAAGGAAGGAGGAGGAGAAAAAAAACTGGGCAGATTCGAAGAAGAAGAAGAAGGAGGAAGCAGAAGAAGAAGGAGAAGGAATGAGGAGGAGAAAAAAAAACTGGGCAGATTTCGAAGAAGAAGAAGAAGGAGGAAGCAGAAGGAAGAAGAAGAAGAAGGAGAATGAAGGAGGAGGAGAAAAAAAAACTGGGCAGATTCGAAGAAGAAGAAGAAGATTCGAAGAAGAAGAAGAAGGAGGAAGCAGAAGGAAGAAGAAGAAAAAGGAGAAGGAAGGAGGAGGAGAAAAAAAAACTGGGCAGATTCGAAGAAGAAGAAGAAGGAGGAAGCAGAAGGAAGAAGAAGAAGAAGGAGAAGGAAGGAGGAGGAGAAGAAAAAAAAAACTGGGCAGATTCGAAGAAGAAGAAGAAGGAGGAGGAAGAAGAAGGAAGAAGAAGAAGAAGGAGAAGGAAGGAGAAGGAAGAAGAAGAAGAAGGAGAAAGGAGGAGGAAGAAGGAGGAAGAAAAAAAAAACTGGGCAGATTCGAAGAGGAAGAAGAAGGAAGAAGAAGAAGAAGGAGAAGGAGGAAGAAGAAAAAAAAAAACTGGGTAGATTCGAAGAAGAAGAAGGAGGAGAAGGAAGAAGGAGGAAGAAGAAGGAAGAAGAAGAAGAAGGAGAAGGAATGAGAAAGGAGGAAGAAGAAAAAAAAAATTGGGCAGATTCGAAGAAGAGGAAGAAGAAAAAAAAAATGGGCAGATTCGGAAGAAGGAGAAGGAAGAAGGAAGAAGGAAGAAGAAGAATGAAGGAGGAAGAAGAAAGAAAAAAAAAAAAAACGAATCTGCTACCCAGATTCAGAGGAAGAAGAAGAAGCAAAAGGAAGAAGAAAGAAGAAAAAAAAAACGTTTTTGTTTCAAATTTATTTATTTATTATTTTATAATATATATATATTTTTTAAATTTCCACGTGGATGACACGTGGCGTCCAGTTATTGTTCACATGGGCGTCACGTCACTGTTAACGGCAGACTTAATAGTTTGACTAACGGATGTATGAAACTGTCCCAAAATTTACACTTTAGGTATGACTCTGGGATGAAAAAAACTTGATGTACTAAATGTTGAAGACCACAAAACATAAGGGTAGTAAACAGTCTTTTGCCCTTTTTATTTTTATCAATGGTTACAATAATTCAATGAAATGGATAATATTTTTAATATTTTAGTCCCCATCAATTCACAAAACCCAAATTTAATTTCCAAAAAAACTTCAAATTTTCATCTGGGTCTAATCAAATTGTGCATTTTCACCGAAACCTCTGTTTCTAAGCTCACAGACTTAAATTTTATCCTTAATTTGCTAAATTCTTCATCTTCTTTCCAATTTTTTTTTTTTTTGTCTAATTTTTGTTGGACTTTGTATACTAAGACTGCCCTATGTTAGAATCATGCATTTGTCATGTCTAATCTATGTCCCAAAAACAGGCAAAGACACGTACAGTGTAATCTCTGCAGAGAGATTGAAAAAATGAAAGAGCAGCACAAAAGCAAGAAAGAAAATAAGAGCAGGAGAGCAACCAAAAGAACAAAAACAGAAGTAAGAGAGAAAACAGCACAAATATCTTCCACACCTCCTAATTCAATAATTCAATGTTATTTCTTGTACTTCCATTGAAAAGGTGGACAATTGAACCAAAACTAAATAATAAATCAACCACTAAAAAAAACATCCATTCTAGTTCCGGATCAAAAGATGAGCAATTAAATAAGGACAAAAATAGTTCAAACTGGACACTAATCTTTTGAATGAAACCAAACCGCAACATGAGGAGAAAAGCAGAAAGATTGTTGCAGGGAGGACTTCCATTTGAAATCATCACTATTATCATATTATGTATAAGCCATACTATAGTAAGGCTTTCTTAATTGTTTTTCAGTTTGTCCTCTAGAATAAATTTCTAACTCCGTCCCTAAACGCAGCCCCTCCTTTATCTCACTACAGCCACCTCACCCCCTCCCATCGATCGAACGCAATAGCAGAGTAGCAGTCCCTCCTTTCCAAATTGAAATCTGGCAAGCGGAAAGCAGGGCCGACTGAGCCGAAACAACGGGGCCACACGGAGCCCAGAGCCACAAAGCCCGGTCTCTAAACCAATGACCGAACTATAAATAAAGTGGAATCCATCCCAAAACACTGTTTATCCTCTACTTAAAAGTAATTATTTGTTAAAAAAAAATATTGTTTATTGGTTGCCAGAAGGTCCTACCATGCTTTCACCTTCATCTCCTCTGTTATCCTCTGTATCTATGAACTTCCGTTGCCTTCGCGAACTCATTGTTGAGATGATGGTCGTCGGCGGTGCCTGTCCAATCAAACCGTTGCTTGAGATTTTGAGCAGCCTCCATATCTGAGAGGGTTTCGACCCACAGTAAGCCACTGGGAGACGTCTTCGAGTGCTTGAAGTAACTGTGGCTTGATTGGCTTGAACATGTCCACAGCTTTTATGAACGCTTTCATATCAGTGTTAACTTGCAGCTATTTCATGTTTTCTCTGTTTTGTTTTTTCCTTCAGCAAATGATTGTGATGATTTGAGAGAAGGAGAGGTGGGGGATTTTATAGATAGGGAGAAGGGTTGGGGGAGCAGGATTTGCAACAATTTGGAGGGAGATTGGAAGTTTCCACAGTTCTGTTTTTCTTGTTTTTCAAAATTTTAATTCACCTCAGGTGTTCAGAGACCAGTCCACTCAGAAATTACACATTGTGTAGGGGCGCCACTTATACATGTACCATATAACGAAAGTCAGCTATTGCTTCCGGGAATCTCCTATGTCCGGTAATCCGCCAGAGAACAATCTTGTGCGTGGCCAGATATACAAATCTCAGCCTCCACTCGGTTCAATGTACCAAAGCATGACCAAAGATACAACACTACATTTATCAGAAACGTCGACTCAGTTGCATATAGACAACCATGAGCACCAGAACGGAATCTTGGATCCGCAGTAGTTATACTCTCGAAAAGACTCTAATAGAAATGATTTCGATAGATGACTGATGGTAACTTCACCGTTCTTTTTTGGCTCTCATTTTTGCATGTGAGTGTGTTATCTGTATGTTATAGGAACAGAGAATTTCTTTTTCTTCTTCGTTCGTGTTTTTCTTTTTCTTCTTCCTCTGTTACTACCAGTGATAGAACTCTCAAATTGTTACAAGAATTTCTTATTTTCGTAATTCAGTGTTTGCTGAATCTGGCCCTAGATCTAGTGTTCTAATGATTATACAATTGTCGTTGGTATACCTCCGTAGATATGTTTTGAGGTGCTGCAAATTGATGCTTGTCATTTGAACCGTTTTCTGGTTTGTTCTCTGTCTTGCCACTTTAATCTCATATGTTGATAGCCGTTAAGATTTAAGATGCATTCACACCCAGAATCTATATAAGAAACCAAAGCAAGGTGGGAAAAAAATCATCCATTCAGGTGGACGTATGTTTGAGGAAAACGAAACAGTAATGCAGTTTTTGCTTAAGGCGTTTACCGTGGTTAGTTATTCTATTTGTGCCCTACCAGTTACTTTGAATGTGCATTCACATATAAGTTAGGCATGTCTGCTAAGTTCTTATGTTAGTCTTTGACAATCGATGCAATATAAGTTAGTCGTTGGTGACTTGCTTCTGAAGATGGGGGAATAAATACAAATATATGATATTATGATGTACAATAACCCATAGAACCACAAATATTATGTTTCTAACCTTGAACTAGCCCACAATACTAGGCCAACCTGGCCAAATTATCACAGACAAACCTCATAGAAGGTCTCTTTTCAGGGCTTTTATGAACACAAGCAAGAGCGATTTTCAGCACCGCAACAATCTCCTCTTTCATGTCTACATCAGGAGCTAGGAACGGGTCTAACAGATCGCAGAGTGGCTTCCTTTCCTCAATGCAGAGCTGAAACTGTTGTATCAAATCCATTTCCAAAGAACCAATTCTCATAAATGGCATTTTGGCAGAAATCATCTCCAGAATAACTACCCCAAATGAGTAAACATCCCATTTCTGTGATGGCTTGGTTACTTTTGATGCTTCAGGAGCTTTATAGCAAGGTCCGGGTGCTGCCAGTGAGCTCGATGTCCTTTGCACATATGGAGAATTCTGAGGTGGTGTTTCAGCCATTATTTGTTCCAGTTGAAATGACGATGATGACAAGGACTCTTCAGTTAAGTTAGCAAGGCGGCCTAGTCCGAAGTCGGAGATACGGGGTTCCATGTTTTGTCCAAGCAGTATGTTTCTAGGCCTCAAGTTTCCATGCACATATCTTCTGGGACTAAATTCATGAATATAAGCCAATCCTTTTGCCAAGCCATTCATGATTTTCAGACGTGCAGGCCAAGAAAGAGGTGTGAAGGATACCATTCCAGGTTTCCCTAGTAAAGTCATATCAGATTCTTTAGTGTGTCAAAAAAAAAAAAAAAAAAAAAAAAAAACTTAAGAATAAGATGAAGAAAAAACATATGATAAGTTGAAGAGTACTTCGCTGATTTCTGCCTTGAACTTGGATTCCACTGCCAATTTCTCGCTTCGAACTTCTACAAACACTTCATCTGATGAATATCAGATGAAATTGGCCATTTGTAGAAGTTGAAGAGGGGAATTGGTCAAATTTAGGAGGAAAATTGGCATTGGGGTACAAGGTCCGGGGTAAATCGGCGAAATCTTCATAAGTTAAACTATAATACTAATTACCATGAATTGCAGAAGCAAGGTCACCATTTGGGATATAATCATAGATAAGCAGTTTCTCATCAACAGACCAGCAATATGCTAAAAGATTCACAATATTTGGATGCCTCATCTTTCCTATTGCTTCAATTTGATTTTGGAATACCTTGAACCTTTGGGAACCTCCATCTCCCAATCTTCTCACTGCTACAGTTCTTCCGTCTTCAAGAACAACTCTGTACACAATCCCGATCCCACTATTACCCAGAAGAAAAGCAGATGATTTCAGCAGTTTGTCAAGATCTAAATTCACCTGCAGATCCACTTGCACAAAATAGTAATGCTCCAAATTCTCTGGTACGGTATCCATGCCATGTCTTTTGAAGCAGAATAGGTCATTTCCGACCTTTAGTTTTTGTTCAAATTTGCAGCCAGCAAAACGTTCACGTATTTTGCAGGTACAAACCTTCTTGTACCAGTTGGAGAACAAAAACCCAGCAATAAAAATTCCAGCGATGACGCCTGCAGAAACAGTAATCACAAAAATACCTCTGCTTGAGTTGTGTTTCCCATTCATACCAGAGCTGCCGCCTGAATTTTGAGAATCGAAGTTTTGACTGCTTGAAGAGCATGAAATCTTCAACGGCAGTCCACAGAGTAAACGATTGCCTACGAAAGCCGTTGGTCCTATATTGATCAGAGCACCATTCAGTGGAATCGGTCCACTGAGATTGTTGTAACTGAGATCAATGTATACCGTCTCAGGCAAGCTTCCTAGGGATGGCGGAATAGAACCGTTGAACAAGTTATGAGACATATCAAGGGTTGATCTCAAACTTGACAAGTTGCTCATTTCCTCAGGAATCGAACCGCCGAGAATATTGAAGGAAATATTGAGCTTTTGAAGATGAACAAAACTGATTCCCATACCTTGTGGAAGGGAGCCAGAGAAATGGTTTTGAGCAAGGACAAGGATCTTTAGTCTCTTGCACTGAACTATAGATGAAGGTATCGAACCATTGAATGAATTTTGCGAAAGATCTAATGCTTGCAGGTAACTGAGCTTCCCTATCTCAGCTGGAACAGAACCAGATAATGAATTTCCAGACAGCACCAAGCTCTGGAGCTCTTTTGCATTGAAAAGCTCAGACGGCAAGCTTCCGGAGAGTTTGTTCTCCCGGAGATTCAGATGGCGCAGGGCGGAGAGGTTCCCAAGAGCACGAGGGAAAATCCCAGAAAGCTGTTTGTTTGGAATACTGAGAGATACAACCTTTTCTTCTCTGCATGTAACTCCAGCCCATGAACATGGGGTTTGGTCTGATGAGTTCCAGGTACTCAGAGAGCTTTCGGGGTTTTTCGTTAAGGATTCCTTGAACGAAAGTAGAGCCAATCCTTCTTCATTTATACAACTGACAAGTGAGAGAGAGTTGCATACAAGGAAAGCCAAGCAAAGAACTTGCAAAACCATCCTGGAAAAAGCAAACTTCTTGTCCTAAAGAAATTATGCAGAACAAAGAAAATGGGTTTTAGGAGGACTTGTGATGGAGTGCCAAAAAAGAAAAGGGCAAAAAGTTCTCCTTAATGGTGCTTTTGTGGGTCCTTGTTGCAACTAATTAGATATAAGCACAATGTCTTTTTGTCTCTTTTTTCTAGGAGATACGAATTCATTGTCAACGATTGTGGTGCGGTGAAAAGAGAAAATTTTGTCCAAAATTTCAATCAGATCAAAGAAAAAAAAGACACCACGCACCAGGAAAAATTAAAAAAATAGTGCTCTTCTTCAAACTTAAGCCTGTGTGCGTTATTATCAACGGGAGTGATTAACGGTCATATGTAAAGGCAATTATGCAAGCCTTGATTATTTGCTTCAACTTGTTGATACGTGAGAAATCTGATTTACACTAAGCTACATTTGGGTGATACGTTTTCAAGTTCCAAGAAATTGAGGCCAGGTTAGTAAGAAAGAAAACACAAAATTTTAAGCAGAAGGGATCATATTGTGCAAATCTGATCCCTCTTATCTAACATTTTATGATCAATTTCTTACTAGGTTGACCTCAATCTTCCGGGACTTAGAAAATCCGTCACCCAGACATAGGGTAAAGGGAAAACAACCGGGCAGTTTACTAGTGGTTGTAGGTGTGGTCCATCCTTTGGTTTAAGCGTAATTGGGGGCGTTGTTTGTGTATTGAATTGCCGCTGAAAGTGCAAGCAAATGGAGATTTGGTGTCGTCAATTTGATTGTATGATCCTCCATGGCCCAACAAATTGACTCACGCAAATGCAGTTTGATTTGATGAAAATGCAAGGCTAATCATGTTTCTTTTTTTTTTTCCCTAAAGGATTATTTCTTTTAATTTATCTACTCCATTGGTTATTTTTCCTTTCAATATATTTTCTTTTCAGTTTTACTGACCAACTAATATAATTAACTGCCGTGGTCTGATTCTCACCTTAAAATTTACATTTTGGTATTCTTGGGACTCGTTTGGTAGAGATGATTGCTTGAATATTGTTCACATTTTTTTTAACAATCGATATTTACACTAAAGAGGAGGGGGTGAGCTTAGGCTCACACGGGCTAACAAAATGTGGTTCAAATTTGCCTTTGGCGATAATCGAACTTAAGACCTCTCACATACAAGTGAAAAGTAATACTACTAAATCTTAGTACTAAGTGACATTCACTACGTTGAATGTATTTCCAAGAAGATATGTTATTTGTGCACTCTTTTTTACCTCCTCCTATACACTAAGTTATTATGTTGAACAAAGCAAAAGAGAATCATCGATCAAAATTAATACGAGGTGTGTAGAAAATGAAAAAGAATGTGCAAAAATCACTTCCCTTGGTTATTTTATTTGACCTCTTCATTTGTTTCTTTATACCCATATCTATCTCTGGGTGCATCGAAGCAAGCCATTAAAATCGTTGTTGATCCGGCGAACAACACATGAGATGAGCCTCATTAAAACAGATCGGTCGACTTCCTATCCTGCCATAAACCAACACCTATGGAAATCGCGTTCGTCACAAGCTGTGGAAAAATAAAATTTTTGTTTGAACAAATTCAACTCCAAATTTTGTGTTTCAAGTTAAATATTTGAGAGATGGTGCGTGCTTTTCGACAATAGTAGTACAATTAGATGGTATTTAACACACTACTTCATTGCTTACACCCCAAGTAATCTTTGAAACACCATCACGAGTTGAAAATTCAAGTTCTCCGATTGTGCTTGGCATACAGGAGATTGGTTAGATCGTTCTCCAAAACAGCAGAGGCGCACGCTTCTTCTCTTCTCTTTTGTTGCTGATGGTATGGAGTTGCAGGCAGTGTTTTCACCATGATTTCTGCTGAGGTTGTTAACATTGGAGATGAGGCTTGTGAAGTTGTTGCCGGTACAATTTCTACCGGACTGTTGGCACGCCAACACTAAAAGGTAGAAATTACACTGACCCTTCTGGAACAAGGAGGAACCGCTAGAAGGTATGGTTTTAATGTATTCTTTGGAATTCAATTCATACAGAAAGCTCTTGGCTGGTTGTTGCATTCAACATGTATGGATTGGAGATCGCTTTGCAGCCCTTGAACATATTTGATGCCCCCTCAGAAACCGCCACACAAGACAAGCAGCCATGGCCCGAGCTCAAAATATGGCTGAACAGCAATATAGGCAATATAGGATGGTAGTGGTTGCATGAAGAGATAATTAAGCTTGTTTGCTTTGATTCAAGTGAATGCACGAAGGTGCAATCACATCCTGCACAAGCTAACAAGAAGTAGAGAATGGGGATTGGATGTTTTGAAACACCCTGTGAATTACCGAAGGCTGTGATACCATCTTAGACAACAATTGGACTCCAAAAAGCTCTTACGAGAAGGACCGAAAATGTATACAAGGCATGTTTCAGATTGAGATACAAAACCAAAAACAGCCGTCTCTTCTACTTAATGATATGAAAACATTCCAAATTACAGTTACAGCATGAATGATCCACACTCTCAGCCCAAAGCTCACTTGATCCAGAGTTCCATGTTTTTTCGGTAAATCAAAAGCTTTAGGAGCTGCACTTATTGGAGAAAAAGCAAAGCTACAAGATCCCAAGGCAAAATACGGCAGTGCGATTTATTTAATTGATGGACTAGATTCACTTTACCATATTAAGATTTAAGATGTAGTAAACTTCAAACAGCTCACTCATCTTTGGCAGTTTTCTTACCACTGAATAACTTAGTCAGATTAGGCATCACCTTCTTTTTCTTTTGAATGGGGAAATTATTCCGAGCTCCAGGAGAAGCAGATTTTCTATACCTCGCCCGCCTGTATGGAGTCTGGTATCCATTACTTTTCATAGCCTTTCTAGGTGTGGCTTGTTGCCAGTTTCCAGATACTACATTTCTTTCCCCTTTTTGTCCCCAGTTTTGTTCTTCTCCTTGCTCTTCGTCCACTCTCATCTTTTTAAGATCTCTCATAGTTAAGTCTGTCCTTATCAGTATTTCCTTCTCACTGGCCCTTAGAGCTTCAACCCATGCCTGAGCTTCTGCTACCTTTTTATCCGCAATTCCTTCAGCTGCGACTGCACGTCCAGTCAGGTACTCGTGTTCAAACTTGGATATGGTAATTGAAGAACTACTCTGTGACTCAAAAGCTCTAGCTCGTACGGTGTTCTCAATCAGAGTTTTGAGATTTTCAAGCGCTACAGCTTCGGATGATTTGACTGTTTCAAGCTCCTGCATTGTAGCCTGTAACTTTTCCTCGGTTGATTCTATCTCCAATTCCATTTTCAGAATTTCGGACTTGATGCTTGCAGTCTCTTCGCAGACAAGCTCCTTTTCTTTCTTTGCAGCTTCTGCTTCTACCTTGAGCTTGTCAAGAGTGACAGATAGATTGGACACAATCGATTTTTCTTTCTCTTCGGATGCAGATACATCTTCCAACTTGGCTTTTGCTCGGAGAAGCTTTGAGTTGAGATTTTGAACCCTCGAATTTGATTTCTCTTCTGTCTTCCTTAACCGAGCTGTCTTGTTTGTTAAATGCTTATGCTCATTTCTTATAACATCCATGGAGGCCATGTACTGAAAACATTCTTCTTTTACTGCAGCCAATTCTGTCTTTCCCGCCTCAAGTTCTTCCGTAACTGACTGTAACAGCTCTGAGCCTTCCAAGTCTTCCTCTTTCCGAAAACTGGGTTCTAAACGACTCAAGCTGTCAATCCTTTGAATCCTTTTGTCCATTTCTTTAACTACCTTTAGTTCATTCTGCAACACATGCACATCAGACATTGTGACAGCTAACTTGGTTTCGAGGTCTCTTGAGTAATCAACCTGTTTAACAATATCTTCCATTTTCTTCCTGGTTTTGTCCACTGCCGATGAGAATTGACTGGCTTCCCTTTCTCTCTCAGCTTCTATATCTCCAAATTCTTTTGCAGCTTCAATCCGGGCCAACTCAGCTAGCACTTGCTCTTCAGTTGCTTCCTCAATCTCGTCCCTGATTGCCTCCACTGAACTTGTATAAACAACGTCTTTGTATTTGAGGCCTCAGTTTGCTTCTCTGCCTGCGATTTCTCTTCTAAAATCGACGCCATATCAAGCTCAAGCATGCTTAGTTCCTGTCTCACAAGTTCCAATTCTCTCATCACTTCTGTATGTTTGTTATTGTCCACATCCCCAATAGCCAATACCTGGTCTTCATCCCTACCTACGTGCCTTTGCGATTTCTTTAGTACTTCAATCTCTTGTGTATGTGATTTCGCCTTGGAGCTTGATTCCTCAATTACAGAAGACAAATCTTTAGCTCTCTCCATCACATCAAGCATCTCGGATTGCGCTTGTGCTCTTAAGGCGTCTGTGTCCGTTCTGTTTTCTTTGAATCGACCTATTTCCCTGCGTGCCATATGGAGTTCCCTCACTATTGCAGAAGACTTGACATGAAATTGGTAGACAGACAGAGAGAAAGGGAGATCAGAAGCAATGCAGATGGTTTTTTGCTTGCATAGCGAATAAAACTAAGATTATGAAATGAGATTTTTCCGTAGTTTCAAGAGTTGGTTAAAAACATTCAACTCTTTGCACCTGAGGTCCCAAGTTGGATTCTCTCACTCACCAATACCACTTGTATAAAAAATTAAAAATTAAAATTTTTTTGGGTTTTATATGTACCTCGGAGATATCTATCAGGGATTTCTTGAGGGAAGGACTAGCTTCAAGAATCCTATCTTCTTCATACACATTGTTGGCTTTTCTAATCTTCTTCTGTTATCAAACTCTCCTACATTCACCTGTTTACCACTCTATTCATCATGCACCACAATCTCTGTCAATTTCTTCAAAAATCCATACAACATCTGAACAAAAATGCTAAGCAAAAACTAGAATCTAATTACACACGCTTCATCAATTGCAAGAATTTCAATTATTTATTAGCACATGCAAGGTCCATTCTGACTCTGATGTGGGATTTAGACTCTCAACAAAATGCAAGTAATTTCAGCAGCTAAAATTAACATCTTCATATACAAATATATATGTATATGTATATATAATATAATTATATACATATATTCTTAGAGACAGAAAGCATGAGATTAAGAATTAAAAATCTTACAAATAATTGAGATGCATGGCTCGGCTGCGATTTTTGGAAGAGTGAAATTTTTGCTTGGAAGGCACAGAGAGAGAGCAAACTTTGATATTTGTCAGACAGTTTTAATTTTATTCCGATTTAAAGAGGGAATCAAGATAAAAGAGGAAGGACTGGCTTCGGTTCTGTCCACAATCCAACTCCTGATGATTGGTTCATATTGAAACTACCGCCATCCGCCACCCATCTGCTTTATTCTTTTCTTCCCGCATTTTGAATGTTGCTTTTATTAAGGCAGATACTGAAAGAGATCAGCAAGCTGTTAGTTAGCTAAAACTGTAAAACTTTAGTTGTGGTTTTTCTGTAATTAGTTGTAGGAGCTAAGCGTATTAAGAGTATTAATGCATCAGGTTTCTACCTATATATACTCAATTGTACTGTGTAATTATTCAAGGAATGTGAATCATTTTTTACAGAGATACTTTCTGTTTCTATATGGTATCAAGTTGCCAACCGCCTCACGGCTCTCCCTCACCCACCGCCTCGATCTTCTTCCGCTCATCGTCTTGATCGATTTCTTCCGATTTCTTGATCGATTTCTTCCGATTTCTTGATCGATTTCTGTCTTCGATCTGTAATTTCTGTCTCTTTTCATCCTGGCATCCACCTTTGAATCTTCATCTCCGATGGCTTCTGTTACAACCACCCCCAAAATAATTGGAAAATTTGTTATTTTCACCCCAAGCCGCCACGTGTCAATCATTCAACCCCCTTTCTTTTTCTTTTCTCTGTCCCCCACCCCCGTGACTCTCTTCTTCTTGGTCCCTTTCCCGTAGTTCTCTGTCCCTCTCAACTCTCCCGAAGCTCTCTCACTCTCCCGTGTATCTCTCTCCCTCAAACTCTCATATCTTTCTCTCCCTTGGACTCGCGAGGACCCTAGCACCACCAGGAGAGACTCTCTACGAAGCAGGGATCCTTGCCCAGCGAGATAGACGGCTCGGAGCAAAGCTCCGACGAGTTTTCTTCCTATTTCAGTAGGGGTAAGTCTCGATCCCTCATTCTCTTACCCAGGTTGAACTTTGGTTGTGATTTGGAAGTTTAAACCTTCCATTTTTACGTAGGTTTTACCTCGGGATCGTTTTGGGGTGTGCACACCCATTTTTCAGGCGAACCCGTGCACTCCGAGGGCTTTCCCGGTCACCTCCAACCGAGTTACGGTATTTGGAAGGTATAAATCTCTTCCTCTCTCTTTGTTCTTCATGATCGTACCTAGATCGGAGCTTGAAGCTCCAGTTTTCAGGTGACCGGAGCTGTAGCAGCTCCGGCCTTCTCTCTCGGCAAGCCAAGGCCAACCGGCCTTTTCCATTTCCTTTCCCGCGGGCCTCCAGCCCGTTTTGCCTTAGCCCAGTACCCTAACCCATTCAGTTTTTATTTTTAGTTATTTAGTTTTAAAGCCCAAAGGGCTCAGGCCCTAGTTTTGAATGGCCTTGGGCCGGTGTTAAATCAAGGGCTTAAAGCCCTGTTTTCTGTTGGTGAGGCCTTAAGGCCTTGTGCCTGTGGGTGTGTGTTAGGCATGCACATGCATGCCGTGCATGTGTGTGTGTGTGTGTGGTTAAATATATGTTTGGGCTTAAGCCCAAACCCCTTTTTCCAAACCCTAAACCCATCCAAACCTAATTCCCTTATTTTATTAGTTTAAACCAATATTTTAGAAAATCATTTTATTTAATTATTACATTCTTGTTCTTAGGTAAAATTGCTAGTGGAGAAATTTTATATCCTTATTCGCACGACTCTTCTGCTAAGGAATATTTGTGAGTGGATCCCTTCTAAAATTACATGATTTAATAATTCAATTGCATAAATGATTAGCATGCCTACGGATTTATGATTTGATTTATGTGAAGCTTGAGGATTTAATATATTGATTATCGTCTCGTGTTTTAGTGAGGAGTTAATTGTTAGCCTATATTGAGCTATATTTTAATATATCGTATTTTCTATAAAAATCATGAACTGGTAGACTATCTGATAGGTGACGATAGGATGCTAGAACATGTTTTTGAACCCCTCTTTATAGTGTAGACGATGATCGGTAACCTATGCTATGAAGTGGTTATTTAAGATAGACGTAAATATTTGTGCGTACCTAGTAGACACTATGCCGTCTGGGGCGAGGATCTGGTGTTGGCATGTGGGCCGGGAGAAATAATCCCTAGCGGAAGGCTGAGGGACACGGAGACAGGCATTGGGCCGGGAGGGAGTTATCTCTGGCTACGGGCACAGAGACTGAGGTGCAGGCATTGGGCCGGGAGTTATATTTATTCAATGATCTTTCTAGCAGCACATCGCGTTTACGAGACGATTTATGATACGTTTATTGTTTTGATTTTTGCGATGATATTCCGCTAAATATGATTTTTGAGATATTTGGCATGCTAGGATTTTTATTAAATCCATCGCTTATTAAGCTAGTAGTTTTCATTTATATAAACTTTGGGGGTTAGTATCTTGATAACTGTTTCATTATTATCGTACATATGAACTTGGTCCACTCACCTTTGTTTTGCGCCCCCATTCAGGTCATAGAAACGAGGACTACGACTGGACGTACGAGGCATTCCCCTACCAGTAGTACTCCATCACCCACCTGTGTGATATCTTGTAATGTTCTTTCTTTTTTTGTAAATCTGGTTTTAGGCTATGTCTGGTTCATTCTAGACGCTTCCTTGAATGTTGTTAATTACTCTTAAAATTTTTGATGTTATTCATGAATATTTTCTTCTAATCATTACTCTTGTAATCAATTAATGGCTTTCGTCACCTTGGGTGTCGGCCAACACGTGTCTATCCTGATATTCAAAAGAATATCAGGGTCGGGGCGTGTCAGCTTCACCGCCATTACCAAACCCTAATCCCCCAAATTCGTATCTGTCTCTTACGATTCAGAACATCGGCAGTATGGTTCCTATCAAGCTCAAGCGCATCAACTATCTCCCATGGCGTGCCTTGTTTGCTCCTATTCTGCGTCGCTATAAGCTTCTTGGTCTCATTGATGGTACTGAGCCATGTCCGGCTCCTCTTCTCCCTGATCGCTCTATGAATCCAGCGTTTGAGCAGTGGTTTGAGAAAGATCAAAATCTGTTGATCTGGTTGAATTCGACACTCTCTGAAGATCTCATTCCCTTCACAGTTGGAGTGTCTACATCTCGAGAGCTCTGGGCAGAAACTTGAACAACGTTTTGGTGGCGTCTCTGATGCTCATGTTCATCAACTTCATTCTCGTCTGCACTCTATTAAGAAAGGTCATCAATCGATCTCTAAGTATCTTCAACAAATCAAGGAAATTTCTGATTCTCTCACTGCCGCTGGTGCTCCTATCTCTGATCGAGACCTAATTGCAGCGACACTTCATAGCCTACCTGATGAATTTGAGTCTTTCATTGACTTAATCATGCTTCGATTGTCTTCTACCTCTCTTGATGAATTACATGGCCTGCTACTTATTAAAGAGTTATCCATAGCTCGTCGCAAACACACTGGTTCTTCTTCTGTTACTGAGCCATTTCAGGCATTTTCTGCTCAGTCTCAGGCTCCTTTATTGCCTACGCCTGCATATCCTCCACCACTCCAAACTTCTTTCCATTACAACTCTAATCGTGGGAGACAGAATCGCACCTTCAACAGAGGCAATCGCAATCGCAATACCAATCGTGGCTCTTTTAATGGCAATCCTCGTGGTTCTCAGAATTATCCTCACGGCTCTAAGTCCAATTATTCCGGCTTTTCCTCCTCTTCTGGCACCAAGACTCAATGTCAAATTTGTGGTTCCACTAGCCACGAAGCTATTGACTGCTTTGATAGGATGAATCCTGACATCTTTGGCAGAGTACCACCAGCCAAACTTGCTGCTTTATGTGCTCCTTATTCTTCCAAACCCTCTCCATCTTGGCTACTGGACTCTGGAGCTACATCACATATTACCAATGATATTGCCAATCTTTCTGTCTCCTCTCCCTACATTGGTGAAGACAAGGTCTACGTCGGAGATGGTAAAGGTTTGTGCATTAAAAATGTTGGTTCTTCATATTTACATACTCCTCATACTGCCTTCACGTTGAGTAATGTACTACATGTTCCACATATGAAGCACAATTTACTGTTTGCTTATCAATTTCTCAAAAACAATGATTGTTCTATAACTCTTGACCTTGATGGATCTACTGTAAAGGATCGTGCTTCGGGGAAGACGCTTTTGCGGGGCCGAGTTGAAGATGGGTTTTATCCTCTCCACGGTTTCAATTCCACTGTATTTCCTTCACCATCAGCTTTCCTTAGTGTCAAAGCTCCTCTGAAGATTTGGCATTGCAGACTGGGTCATCCATCTTCTTCACTGTTTCGAAGGGTTCTATCCAGAAATAATCTTGTTGTACTCGGCAAAACCACTATGGATTTCTTCTGTTCAGACTGTGCTCTAGCTAAGAACCATAAACTTCCATTTGGATCTGCCAGTTCTACTACCAGTCACAGTCTTCAACTGCTTCATTGTGATCTTTGGGGTCCTACCAGTGTTATCTCACCTAGTGGTTTCAAGTATTACATGTTGTTAGTTGATGACTATAGTCGTTATAGTTGGTTGTTTCCTTTAAAGGCCAAGTCTGATGCCTATTCTACTTTTGTTGTATTCAAGCAGTATGTAGAGACCTTACTTGATAATAAAATCAAAATTGTCCGCTAAGATTCTGGGGGTGAATTTACTAGTACTGTATTTCGGTCATTTCTTCGTTCTCATGGTATTGTCCACCAATTAAGTTGTCCTCATACCCCTGAACAGAATGGTTGTGCCGAAAGGAAGCATCGCCATATTGTGGAGACTGCTCGTACTTTACTTATTGCATCTAATGTTCCTCATCTTTATTAGGTGGAAGCATTCTCCACAGCTGTGTATCTTATCAATCGGTTGCCAATTTCTGGACTATCTCAATCTCCTTGGGAAATACTCTTTCAAAAACCTCCTGATTACTCCCGATTGAAGGTATTTGGCTGTCGTTGTTTCCCATGGCTTAAGCCTTATGTTCATTCCAAGTTGGATCCTAAAAGCAAAAGTTGCATTTTTCTGGGGTACAATTTACAACACAAAGGCTACCGGTGTCTTGATCCTCAAACTGGATGGATATATATCTCTCGCCATGTGCAGTTTGATGAAACTGCTTATCCATTTCACA